AGCAATTCTCTCCCTCAATATCTAGTTTGGTCTAGTAGGAAGAAGGCCAGACTTGGAGGCTGCAGGCTCAGGTTTCATGCTCAAACTACCAGTCTAGCTCTGTGACCCTAGTAAAATCACTTTACACCCTGAGCACCAGTGCCTTGATCTGAAAAGTGAGGACACTAATAGCTATTTTATAAGTTTGCCACAAAGATTCAGGGAAGCACTTGTGAAAGTGGCCCTGTGATGGGTTTGACATTCTGATATTCTGCTGTAGCTGTCTTGAAATTCTTAATAGTTTTTGAAGGAGGAGCTCTGTATTTTCATTTTGGACTGGGCCCTGCAAATTATATTGCTGGTCCTGCCTGTATGTCCTTGGCCAAGTCACTTAACCTTTCTGGGCTCCAGTCCATAATTAATTAAATTCTTAGGAAAGAAATGGTTAGGAAAATTCTCAATCCTCCTTCTATCTACCTATTAGCAAAATTTGACAGGTTGATCACTCCCTCCTCCTTGAAACATTTTTTCCACTTGACGTCCAAAACACTACACTTTCCTGGTTATTCTCTGCCTCACTGGCTGCTCCTTTGCTGTTTTATTCCTAATCTATTAGCATGTCCAAAACTAAACTCCTGATCATCTCCTGCAAGCCTGCTCCCCCCAGTCTTCTTTGTCTATTAATGGTATCTCCATCTTTCCAGTTGCTCAGACCAGAACTCTTGTCATACTCTTTGATTCTTTATCACTCACTGCATATCCAGTTTGTAAGCTACTCCAGAGTCTGACCACTTCTTCATCACTCCCATCACAGTCCAAGCCTTAATCATCTGTATTCTGCAGGATCCTTCTAACTGGTCTCCCTGCTTCCACCTCCTCCCGTGTCCCCATGGTCTGTTCTTTATATAGAATAATCCTTGAAAAATATGCCAGGGACTTCCTTGGAGGTCCAGCGGTTAAGACTTCATGCTTCCACTGCAGCGGGCACAGGTTTGATCCCTGCTTGGGGAACTAAGATCCCGCATGCCAAGCAGCGTTGCCAAAAATTAAAAAAAAAAAAAAGTCAGATGGCATCAATCCTCTGTTCAAAACCATCCCATGACTATCCATCTCAATCAGAGTAGACATGCCTACAAGGGGCAATAAGCTACCTCTCTGAACCCACCTCCTACCACTCTCTCACCTCAGGCCATTTGCCAGTGCCTCTCTGCCTACAGTGCCCTCCCAGATGGCAGCCTGGTTGGCTCCTCACCTCCTTCAGTCCCGAACAACTGTCACCCTGTTTAAAATAGCATCCACCATCAACTTTCCCCCCTTGTTCCTTATCCTATCATTCCATGCTCACTTTTCTTTCTTCTTTTCAAAAAATTAATTAATTAATTAATTTTTGGCTGCATTGGGTCTTCATTGCTGCGCAGTCTTTCTCTAGTTGCGGTGAGTGGGGGCTGCTCTTTGTTGTGGTGCGTGGGCTTCTCATTGCGGTGACTTCTCGTTGCGGAGCATGGGCTGTAGGCACGTGGGCTTCAGTAGTTGTGGCACGTGGGCTCAGTAGTTGTGGCTCACGGGCTCTAGAGCACAGGCTCAGTAGTTGTGGTGCATGGGCTTAGTTGCTCCTCAGCATGTGGGATCTTCCCGGACCAGGGCTCAAACCCGTGTTCCCTGCATTGGCAGGAGGATTCTTTTTTTTTTTTTTTTTTGCGGCATGCAGGCCTCTCACTGTTGCGGCCTCTCCCGTTGCAGAGCACAGGCTCCGGACGCGCAGGCTCAGCGGCCATGGCTCACGGGCTCAGCCGCTCTGCGGCATGTGGGATCTTCCCAGACCGGGGCACGAACCCGTGTCCCCTGCATCGGCAGGCGGACTCTCAACCACTGCGCCACCAGGGAAGCCCGGCAGGAGGATTATTAACTACTGTGCCACCAGGGAAATTCTAACTGCTATATCTTCAGCACAGAGGTCAGTGCCAGTGAATGACAGTAGAAAGAGCTCTGGAACAGATGATGGTATTACTAAGTGACAGCAGCATCAGCCCCTCTGAGTGTATAAAGTACTTTCACAGGCTGCACACCCATGAGGCTGGCCCTGCATACAAGAGTGAAGGCGTTTGTGGGGACTGCTCTGGGCTAAGCCTCCTACTAGATTATACTGTGGGGATAGAAAGGTGAATCAGGAGTGGTAACCACCCTCAAAGGGTTTGTGGCCTAGAGAGAGGTATTATGTATATATGCAAATAACTCTAGAACAAGGCAGCTTTTGTTAAAAATATCTGGCCTTTAATGCCTAGCATCTAACATACTGCTATGGACTCTAGACTTCACTACAGAGGGAAAGGACAATGAACTATGGCTTGTGAATTTACTGACTGGCTATTTTTGTCCCAGACAAGTTCCTGCTGTGGCCTGCTTATCACAACAGAGACACCTTGCCTGACTTCCAATCTAGTTTGCTCCAAACTCCCTCCACCTGCCCCCTCCACCCAATATTGCTCCCTAATTACTGTTAACTTGAGACCCCACCCTCATATAGTCCCTCCACATTCTGCTCCTAGATATCAGAACATGGGGTGGAATCAACTTAGGCAGGCTGCAGCAGGGTGTAAAGGGTCTAAATATTATTTCCCTCCAATAAAGATGTGCATATCTCAATGGGCCTACAGTACACAGAACTCAGGGACTAACATCTGTCCACCTTCGTCCACCTTTGTAGTCTGACAGCCTTGCTCAGTACATGGCACAGAGGAGGCATTCAGTAAGGTTTGCTGAATCGTTGAACTGGGTCTTATAAGCTTGAAGGATAATTGTATTTAAGAAGTAATTCTGCATCTTCTGTAAGGCATCCTAGAAGTATTCTAAAAGGTTATCTTATTTCATTATCATAAGAAATAACCTAATCAGTAAGAATTAAAACATATCAAATAAAGCAACTAATTTAAAATGCCAGTTTAAATTATAAAACACTCCTGTTTTATAATTTTCAAAGCTACTTTAGTTTGTATTGGAGTTTTTAAAACCCTGTATCTGTATCTGAAAATCCAAAAATTATCATGAGATAAATTGCAAGTTACACTTTCCATTCCCTATAGGACTTCTTGGAATAGGGACTCCCTGGAGTTATCTGAATTTTTAGGTAGAGATTAACTTACAAGAAAGACTGGGGAACTGAGAAACTTAAAGCTAGAGCTTAGGATCTAGTAATTAAATACCACATTAAGTTTTGGTGGTAAGCGCTTGAGTGCTTGTTATATAATTCTCAATATTTTTCAGTGTGTTTGAAAAAGCTGCTTCTCTCATATGTTCACATCACACATACATCTTCATACCCAGGTAAGATCAAGCATAACAAGATGACCCATCTTATCATCAGTAAGATGTGGTGCCACCAGTAAGTAAGAAAATTTGGGGCAGGTAAATCTTTCCCCTCCTTGGTTCTCAATTTCTCTGTGTATAAAATAGGGGGAGGGACTAGATGGTTTAGGAGGAGATGCTAATGCCTTAAGAGTCTATGGAAGTAGAGGGCATCTATTGACATTATAAAGGTTTTCTCTTTATAAAGGATTCCCTTCAGGTTTTCTCTGAGTTCCTTAGTGCATTTAAACTGTGACTTGACTTACCAAAATCTTGTCACTATATTTTTATTACTAATAAAGCAACTAACACTTACTAAGCATGTTGAATATGCTAGGCACCATGTATTCAATATGACAGGCACATATGAAATGCATTATTTGATTCAGTCATCCCAATAACCTCATGAGGTACATACCAATATTGTCCCATATTGTAGGTAGGTAAACTGGCTCCAAGACTAAGTGGCCTAAGGTGACTGAATTAGGGAATGTGGCAACTCTGGAATTCAAACTCTCTTCACCTCAGTATCTGACTCCAGATACAGTGTTAACCCTGCATCTCACAGACTGTTTGCCTGTAATAGGAGGTGGTCAGTGTTCCTTTCCTTGGTGAACAATCCTCATTCTCTGTACCTCTTTGCCTTCACAAATTGGGTGACCGATTGAAGATGGGTGATTCCTTTGGTTTCAACTTAATTTCTGTGACATAATGTGCTGATATTTTCATTGAGAAATGATTTTGGGGGCTTCCCTGGTGGTGCAGTGGTTGAGAGTCCGCCTGCTGATGCAGGGGACACGGGTTTGTGCCCCGGTCCGGGAAGATCCCACATGCCGCGGGGCGGCTGGGCCCGTGAGCCATGGCCGCTGGGCCTGCGCGTCTGGAGCCTGTGCTCTGTGGCGGGAGAGGCCGCAGCGGTGAGGGGCCCGCATACCACAAAAAAAAAAAAAAAAAAAAAAGAAAAAAAAGAAATGCTTTTTGACCTTCCCTGGATGAGTCACAGTGGATTTCACTAGCTATCTTGAGTCAATTGTGAATGATCAGGTGAGCAGAAGAGGGTTCAAATTTGCTTTGAATTCCTAATTTAGTTCTTTATGTCTATTATCTAACAGCAAGACTTTCCATTACTTTGCATCAGGTTAAGATGAAAAAATGCCACATGCAGGAAAACAATATAAGATTAATTTCATATCTTCCTAATTTTCACATTCATAATATTCACTTTCACAAGAACTGTGTGAGGTGGGCAAGTCAGGAATTATTCACCCACTTTGCAAATGAGGAAGGATAGTCACGAAAAGGGGAAGTGATTTGTTCAAGGACATCGAGCTGGTTAGGTGCTAGACTTGGTGTTCTTCCTATACTATGCCACCTCTGTATGTAAAAAGTAACATCGGACTCAGGTACTTCTTAGCAGACCCAAATGACTGCCATACTGGAGGCTGTGACATACCAGCCTGTGGCTGCAGGGCTGTCTGTATAACTAGCCACTATGGTGGCGGAGGACATAGCACCAGCTGTGCCCCCTGCTCACACCTGTGCAGTATGATAAAGAAAGTAGAAGTAGCCAGCAGCTGTGGTCCAACTAGATAAAACTTTTAGGCAGGAAGTCAAGTGACAAGTGAACTCGGGTATGTGTGTGTTTTTAACTGTTAGTTACTTTTGACATTTTAAAAAAGGGTTCTTGTGGAAGTCAGACCAAACAGCAGGAAGGTATTGCAGCAAGATGGATTTGGGAAAGGACCAGTCTCACTTGATGCTCCATCAGATACCTGATCCTCATCAAGAAGAGAACCATGTTCCAGGTAATGAAAGAGTCCTTAAGAGGTAGTGACTGTTGGGAAGGATTGGACTATGATTATTTTCCTCTTTTTATGGCTCTGGCAAAAAAGGGGCATAATTGGATACGTTCATATATTAGAATGGAAGAATTGGGGCTATATAACTTTTTGAGGTGCCTTCTAGCACTAAGATTCTAATAAGCCAGAGAAACACAAGGAAATAATAAATAAATTATTAATAATATATATAAATGAAAGATAATGAAAATACCCAATACCAGATAGTTGTGGTAAAACAAATACAACCATATACTTCTTTGGTAACGTAAATATACTGAAACTTTTGGAAAGGGATCTGGCAATAAGTAGCCAGATAATAAGAACTATAATAAGAACTATAATAGTGTTTATTCTTTTGACTCACTAATCTTAGTCTTTGGATCTATCCTAAAGCAGCATTTCTGCTGCTTTTGCAGAACCCTATGCCTTGAGGCAGTGATTTAAAACTTTTTAATGCCATGGATCCCTTTGGCATTCTGATGAACCTCTAGACCCCTTCTTAGACTAAGAAGTCTGAATACATAAAATTAAATACATAGGATTATAAGGGAATCAATTATATTAAGATAAGTTATCAAAATAAAAAACTATGATATAATAATATATGTGCTTATTTACAGATGCATTAAATAACAAGGTCCAGTGGTGGATCTAATTACCACTGTATCAAATCAAATATATCATCTCAAATAAATGATATTTTAAGGTATCTGCAATAACTGTCATGTTATATGAAGAAAATCTGTAATTTCTTTTTGTGACAAAATCACACACTGCTAAAACTACTGTGGTTTGCTACCTACATTCATAATTGAAGGAAATGGTCATTTAAATTAAAGATTGGTAAAAATAAAAGTATAATTTTCCTCCATCCATGTTCACCATTAAGGACTTCTGTCCTAAAAACAAAAGGTGCCATGGTCCAAGGGACATTTTCTCTTTTGGGGGTCCCCGTGCAAATTTGAAATCATTCTATAGTCTCTAAGAAGTTCTACATCAAAGACCCAACGTTAACTTTTCACAAACTTGGATGGCAATAGAACCTTTCTTGATAATAACTTTAATATTCCAAAGAACTTGGAGAAACGTCATCCAAAGGAAAAATGTACAAAAGAAAAAAAGCTGTTGTGTACATGAAATATTTATTATAATTTGATCTACAATGGCAAGAAAAAATAACTGGCAACAACCTAAATGTTCAATACGAGTGGAATGAGTGGATAAATGAGAATACATCAACTCGATTAAGTATCATGTAGCTGCTAAAGTTATAATTATGAGGACGAGATGATGGAATATATTTTTGATGTATCAGGTTAATAAATGATAAAACTGTGGTATGCCATCATTACAACTTTGTTTAATATAGGAACTAGATGAATACGAGGAATAAAATGAAAACAGGTTATAGGATGGCAGAACATGGCTGATTTTTTTCTTTTATGTTTGTACAATATGTACACTATTTTGAAAAAATTAATAGGTTGGTAGCACACTCATGTACAAATACTGACCTTTTCATTTAAAAAATGTCGACTGAATGTTTGCTCCCAGGCATTCTTCAGAGGTACAAGAATAAATAAGATATAGTTCTTGTCCTCAAAAGGCTAAGAGAAAAACTTACACACCCAGTAAAGGGATTCTACCATTTTTTCTATAGGACTCTTTTCCTGTTAATGCCACAACTCATCACTATCTCCCATAACTTTCATTTTGATCCTACAGAAGTCATTGGAACTTGGAGTTTAAGAAACAGAGAGCAACTCAGAAAAAGAAAAGCTGAAGCACAAGAAAAGCAAACTTCACAATGGCAATTTGGGTATGGTATTGCTGCAAGGGGAAAGGAACTGATGTTTATCTAGCGTATGCTACTTGTCAAGTGGTGCTGAGCACTTTTACGTACTATATTTCATCTTTCCAAAAATCCCATAAATTGGGAGCTGTTATCCTCATTTTACAAAAAAAGAAACCAAGTCTCTGAAGGTTAAATCTCTTGCCTAAAGTCACCCATCTAGTAAAGTGATGGGAACAGAATCTTATATATGGTCTCTTTTAATTACAGTACCAGGTGATCAAATTATGTATATTGTAGAGAGGACTGGTGTTCAACCACCCTAGTAATATAACCATAGAAGTATCTGTTGGGAGCGGGAGACACCATTGAGAAGACCCCCAAGCTTGTTCTCCAAGCTTTCTATTAGTGAAATTCTTCTTGAATGAGTGTAGTTAACTCTCCATGGAGTAAACCAAAGCACTGTCTGTAAATGAGTGATGGCAGAGTTTGAGAGTTCCTAAATGTCCAAAGTCAGCTGTATGTAATCTCAGGAAGGGAGTACATGAACATGACTATAAATTAGGCAGCATCTAACTGCACCATTTAGAATATAACTGTGAAAACAGAGGTATTGCCTGCTTGGAAATAGAAAAGGGGAGCCCAAGGAGCCAAAGTACAGCATCCATCTGAGCCAGGGTTTCTCAACGCTGGTGTTATTAGTGCTGTGGATAGGCGACTTCTTTGTGTGGGAGGCTGTCCTGTGTATTGAAGATGTTTCGCAGCACCACTGGCCTCTGGAAACCCACAGGACTCTCCCCTCCGCATCGTGACAACCAAAAATGTCTCCAGACCTTGTTAAATGTCTCCTGGGGTCAGGGGAGAGGAGGTAAAATGCTCCCAGTTGAGAACCACTGATCTAAGCACTCTTCTTTAAAATTTTTTTGATTAAGATTTAGATGTGCATTTCTTCTTTACTGTAAAAATGTTTCCTTCAATGGCAAAAATAACATAGGTATACATTTTTCACAGGGCTGGGCTCTGCTTTGTGAAAAAAACCCAAAAAAACATAGGTAAACATTTTTCTAGGCATCATTTTTTTAAAAAACATACAGTGCAGATGTTTTAAGTACCTATTCCCACTGTGGACTGAGTATCGTCCGTTCTGCAACAACACGTTTCTACAACACCAGTTAGCTCACATATGATTGGTAAATATGAGAATGATGTCAGTATAATGTGGAAGTTGTGTTAGTTCATAATTTTTCCTACTCAAAAGAAGCCAGAATAGTGGGAATAGAGTTAAAACCTTCACAGGAAAGGAAAAAGCCTTCAGCTTGGCTGATGTATAGACAGGGTCCTTTTCAGCCTTCATCCGGGGCTTCTTCCCCAGAGAAGGACATTGGTAGCCTTGCAAAGATCTCCACATATAGCAGGTTGCACTTCCTCCTGTGCTCAACTTAGCGGCAGCCCTGCTGTCTCAGAGCACCCTTATTTGCATGATCTCAGCACTGAAAGCCTGCATTTACACTGTTGCTTTTGTGCATTTTTACCATCCCCGAGGCAGCCTCCAGCCATAGTAAGCTGCCTGTCTGGACTATCCAAGTTATCTCACCCTTGTCCCAATTACTGTTTATGCTAGTGTTAAAAAGTTGCATAGGATTTGAATCATTTGCCCCAACTTTATTTTTTCCCCATAAGCACTGTCACTTTTAGTGCATGATTTTGCAGAAAGTGAGGTTTTTCAGGAATGCATATATGTTATAGCAGAAACTTCTGTACTCAAGTCCTCTGACAGGTGACTCTGTTGAAGAACACACAATTAGTTCCCCTAATTCCTTACTCACCAAGCAACCTTCTGATCATTCCTTGCCTTCCCAAGTCTTTGCATTTCTCACTGTTCATTTAAAAATTGGTCTTTAGGTTTACATATCAATCTCTTTGAGCTGGTTGATGAGCTCTGACCCTAGAAATGGAGCTGGTTTCAGTATGCTCATAGAATTGGGCTTCTGTGCTCATTGTTTTGGGGGGGGGGGCAAGGCTGAAGAAGTCACTGGAGTAGGTGGAACCTTAGTGAGCCTCTTGGCAGCTGGCCGGCCTTGCTGTTGTGACATATATCTATACTACTGAGGGCTGTCCTCACTACAACATTCTACACAGTGAAACCTTAGTTCCAGAGAGAAGCGGTAGAGTGTAATAGTTAAGAGCCTGGCTGCTAAAGCCAGATGGCTAAATGACTAGATTTGAAGAGTGGCTCCCTTACTTCTTAGCCATTTCACCTTGGACAAGTTATTCAACCTCTCTGTGCTTTAGTTTTTTCATCTGCAAAATGGAGATAATAATAGTATCTACCACATAAGTTGATGTGAAGACTATATGAGATAACAGAATAAGTAAATTACTTAAAACAGTGCCTGGCACATAGGAAGCACCATATATATATATATATATATTTCTGATATTTATATAAGAGTACTAGTTTCTATCTGGATGATTCATTCATATAAGTTATTACATGCAATTCTTAGGACAACCACATGAGGTTGGGCAGATACTATTTACTCCATTTTACCTGTGAAGAAATCAAGGCATAGAGAGTTTAAGTGACTTGCCCATGATCACATAGCTTATAAGTGACAGAGTACAGATTAAATTTTAGGCCACACAGATATATTTGTATCTTTTGAGAAACTACCAGGAAGTACATGGAACATTACTCACATTTCCATCATATAGAGATCTACATAACAAATTATTTAGGATTTAATTTCTAGGATAATAATGTTGCCTGAAGAATTCACATACATCATCTTTTTAAAATCTGACAATAAGGACTTTATAATTTATCTTGTTACCTTGGTTACTTGGAATTAAACCTCCAAATGCTGAGGTACCATATCATTTTTACCTTCTATATTATTTTTAATATTTATTTTAAACTGTACTATTATAATATGTACCTTTTTAATATTGACTTCAAACTGGTTTTGATGAGACAACCTTTAAAAAAATTTAATTATGGAAATTTTCAAACACGCAGAAGTAGAATAGGGTATACATTTTTTAAGTGTACAAGGAACTGCAAGCATCGCATAGGTGTAAAAAACACTGGTTTTATCTCCAAAGACTGTCTTGTTTACTAAAAGAAATAGGGTTTCTCCAGAAATAACTACAGGATGAGGCAGCCTATGTTCTTTACCTTAAGCATAATCCTCATAATAAATCCTATAGGAGTGGTAAGCAGGGAGAGCATTTCAGCCCTGTGGTCTGTTGGAGAAGGCTCCACGGGGCAGGTAACATGAAACAGAATTTCAATAGGTTTAGAAAAATGATGAAATGCTTTTTTATAGTATCTTTTTCTTCCCCCAAGTCCATCTATATTAGCCATCTGTATTTGGTTATATTTGTAGTACCTAACAATTTGTCATCGGTTGCAATACCCATGCATATCCTTTCATCTTCTAGATCTTTAGCGATTGGTTCAGAGTAGGTATAATATGACCACTCATGCCTTTCCACCAAGCTGCTTTACCTCAAGGAAGTGTTTTTGCAGCTTTGGAGCTGTGGACCCAGCTTTGGCCACTCAGCCTGCTTTACACAAGACACTGTATTAGATAAGCAAGCCACATACATCATTCACCTGCAGGCTGCGCAGATGAGGAGCAGACCTGCACTGCAGATCTAGGAACACAATCATATCAGTTTACCCAGGGTATAGAGAAATGAACTCACATAGACTAAACCCAGAGAGACTAGCATATAAACAAGAATGCCAGTCTATTAATGTATAACATCAACAATACATTTTCCATAACCAAACTTTAAGTATATGCTCTCAAACGTGTGCACACACCACACACACACACACACACACACACACACACACACACACACGCTACACTCACCAAGAAGATTCCTGTAGAGCAAGGCATCAGAGACAAAAAGTCCTGAGGGTCATTTCCTCTCCCGACAATTGAGAGCATCTAGAACTGCTTCTTCATTTTACAAACAAGGAGACTGAGGCCCAGAGAGAGATTAAGTGCTTTGTTCAAGGTCGTGCAACAAGGCAGTGGGAGTCCTGGGACTGTTATTGCCAAATGTTTATTTGAATTCTGGAGCCCTGTTGCTGACACTAATTCGGATTTCTCTATAGAGAGAAAAAACATAAGCGGCAGAGAACAGGAAAAAGAAGTGAAAGAGGCAGAAAGAGACAACAAAATACAGAAATGAAGGTGGAGCCTCTGTCACAATTAGAAAAGGAAATGATGGAGAAAGCACCAGCATCTACAGAGAAAGAAACTGAACCACCCAGGAGTGTGACCGAAGCTCTCCTTCCGGTAGCCTCCACGCAAAGAGTTGTGCCCAAGAAACATTTTTCTGAAATAGGTCAAGAAAGCATTATCCATCAGGAAAATTCTTCTGAATACCAAGAAACAGCAGTACAAAACCACCCTTCTGAAGTACTCCAAAATATGGCTGAATCTGGAGACCTCTCTCCTAAAATGTACCAAGAAATAGCTGTATTTCAAGACCATCCTTCCCAAATGCGCCATGATATGGCTCAACCTGAAGACCTCTCTCTTAAAATGTGCCCAGAAACCGCTGCAGCCAAAGCCCTTTCTTCTAAAACATCTGAAGATGTAGCTGACCTGGAAGGATGCCCTCTTGAAGCATACCCCAAACCAGATGTGCCTAAAGGCTACGCTCTTGAAACATACCAAAAAAGAGCTGAACCTGAGGAACACAATTCTGAACTAGGTCAAGGAATAGCTGAGACTGAAAATTTTGTTCCTAAAGCACAAGAAATAGCTGTGCCTAAAGAGCTTTCTATAAAAACATACCAAGAAACAGTTGAACCTGAACACTTTTCTCATAAAACATATAAAGAAATCGCTGTGTCTAAAGCCCCCTCTCATAAAACAATCCAAGAAACACCTGCTCCTGAAAAATATTCACCTGAAATATACCAAGAAACAGCTGGGCCTGAAGACCATGCCCCTGAAATATACCAAGAAATACCTGGGCCTGAAGACCTCTCTACTAAGACATATAAAGATAAGGATGTGCCTGAAGAATGCTTTCCAGAGCTGCACCAAGAAAGAGGTGGGCCCCAAGACCAGGATCCTAAAGCACACCAGGAAGATGCTAAGGATGTTTATATTTCTCCTTGAGGTAGTTTTTTTTCTTTTTATTGGGGTCAAGCTAGTGACATGCCCCTTATTTGTGTTCCCTGTTCATAATCAGAGTATCAGATAGGTTTATCTCCCTTGGAGCGGTGATTTATTGCCTTCTTTGACAATCCTGGGTTATCCCAGTTATCTCAATGGGTATCATCAATGTCTTTGGCTAGTTTCAAGTGAAAAATGTTTTTCATTCAACCAATATCTGTTGGTATATTACCATATAATTAAAAGAAAATCATTGAAACTATAAGTGTGTATAGTGGGTACTTGTACATACTATCCATTTTGGGAAGCTTTAGCCAGTGAAGAAAAATGAACCCCATATGGAGTGAATTATGTGCAAAATATTTTAAAGGACAATTACATTTAGATTAACAAGAAAACTTGGTGAATAAAGTTTTTTTCTAGAAAATTAAAATTTCCTGGCAAACTAAAGGTAAGTAAATTCATGGTACAAGCTACGGAGGGAGATACAAAGACATAAAATATGATCCTGGTAATAGGGAACTCGTTCTCGTAGGACTTACCAGGCTTACCCCAAACCCTTTCTATTTAAATATTTGCTCCTGAAAAGCTTTCTCCTCTGCATAGCATTTAAGAAATAATGTGACCTTTCTTCAGTTTGACTTGTCTCGGGGACATAACTGAGAGCCCTGATTCTCTTTGTGCACTATTGTACACAGTATAAGAAATGGGCTGGCTAGCGGACCATAGCTATCCCCAGGGAATTGTGTTCTAAAGAAATCCTTTTGGTAGCTTATTTTCTCTTTCTCCTAAAGTATGAGTGCAACAAAAACCTGGGGTTATTGTATTCCAAGTAATACAGGTTTTGAGGAAATACCTTTTAAAAAATTACAGTAAAAGCAGACATATGAAGCACTACTTGTACTGACAGGAGTCCCCTGATGGAGAAGCAGCTCTAATCAACACAGTGCCCGATTCTAAGAGTTTCATTTTAAACCCAGCGAGGTTACGATGGGCAATTAATTAATGCTTATTTTGTTTTGGGCTTTGTCTTACCAAACAAGTGGAAATATCTACCTTTTTGCTGATTATAAAATTGTCATAATAATAAATTATAATGTTTATTGTAATAAATTAAAGCAATATATAAGTGACTGTAGAGTAAAAGTCCCCTATAATACCATCTCCTATCTCTGATCCCCAAGGTTAAGTTTTTGTTTTGCTTTAACAAATGAGATGGTATAAATACAATACATTCCATTTTATAACCTGCTTTTTTTCACATACAATATATATTGTGGCCATCTTAATGACATCTTTTGTAACAATTGTACAGTATTATACGTACAATAATTTATTCAACCAATCCCTATAATGATGAACACTTAGATTACTGCCAAGTTTTACTATTACAGCAACGTTCAATGAAATCATTGGAAGTAACATTTATTTAAATAACATTTATTTGGCACTTTCTATCTGCCAGACACTGTATTAAACATTTCATGTGAATCACTTTATTCAGTGTTAAAAACCCTAGTGGATGAATAATATTATCCTTATTTTATAGATAAGGAAACTAAGGCACTGGAAGCTTAAGTTGGTCTGATTACTTCCTTTGGACAAATCCCTAGAAGTTGAATTGCTGGGCCAAAGGGTACCAGCATTTAAAGTCTGGATACATTCTGTCAGAGTAGCCTCCAAAAATGTTGTAGCAATACACAGAAACCAAGAATTTATGTAAGTGCCTGTTGCCCATGCCCTTGACAGCACTGCACATGATTGTTTTAATAATCTACGCCTATTATGCTAGGTTAAAAAAAACCTAATTGTTTTAATTCCCACTTTTTTATGACTAATGCTGCTAGGCATATTTTTATGATTATTATGAATTCAGTTTTTTTCTTTTGAGAATTGCCTGTTTGAATCCTTGTTCCATTTTATATTTGGGAAATCTACCTTTTTGATTGATTTAAAAAATCTCTTTAAATAATAGTCATTAAATCTTTACCTACATATAAGTTGTAAATATTTTTCTAGTTGTTGTTTAACTTTGTTTATAGTAGTTTGGCATTCTATATGACAAAATTTTAATGTTAGTTTTTAGTTATTCAAACCTGTCACGATTTTAATTCTTAATGATTCAAACCTGTCAGTCTTTTCCCTTATGGCTTCTGGTCTGTGGTCTGCTTAGAAAGGCCTTTATAATCTTAAGATTACAGGAATATTCTATTGTTTCTACAACATTTACTGTATCTTAATATTTAAATCTTTAATTCATCTGAGATTTGTTTTTGTGCAAAGTGTTAGGTAGAGTTTTTTTTCTCCAAGTGGATAGCCAATCATCCCTATACCATTTATTAAATGTATTTTTGTATTTTATTTTATTTTACAGAAATGAAGGAAAAACCCAAAGCAGAGGAACCAGAGATACCAGCAATTCCAAACGTTCCTCAAGAGATTCAACCAGAAAATAAAATTTATAGTTGTTTTGTTTTAACAATGTGCAACCATCATAGTTGTCCAACAAAATTCACATCTTAGTACATTATATGTGATTTTTCTCAAAATATGGTAGAAATCTCTACAATATTCATTAATATTTTAACAGTGGTTTTTCCCCCATATATAGACCATATCTGAAAGAGAGAACTAATGTGATTTTTCAGGCTCTACCACATAGACAACATCCTGCTAGTGTGTGTGTGTCTGTGTGCACGCCCACGCGTGCGCATGCGTGTGTATGTGTAGGTATATTAGGGAGAGTATAGTGGTGGGAACAGACTTAACAATTTTCCTGCCCTTAAGAATTAGTCAAATAAATGTTTGTTTTCAGGGGAAAATTACTGAGCCCTCCCTTTTCCCATTTTTAAGTCTGAACAATTAAAATTTGAGGAAGTATATAGTTTTCTTATAAATACTAATGTAACAATAGCATCAAAATCTTTTTTTGTGTGTGGTACACGGGCCTCTCACTGCTGTGGCCTCTCCCGTTGCGGAGGACAGGCTCCGGACGCGCAGGCCCAACGGCCATGGCTCATGGGTTCAGCCGCTCCGCGGCATGTGGGATCCTCCCGCACTGGGGCACGAACCCGTGTCCCCTGCATCGGCAGGCGGACTCTCAACCACTGCACCACCAGGGAAGCCCAGCATCAAAATCTTATTCAGGCTTCAGATGGCTTTTAACAATTTAACAATTTTAACAATTCTTATTCTGGGACTCCTTCAAAGATATTTTGGAGTGATGAATGTAGTTGTGTATTTGAATTTTGATTTTCTATTTTTACTTTTTATACACTGTAATTGTGCAAAATGTATATTAAATCATTATCACGTGTTTGTGTGGACAGCATCATGGTAAGCACTGTGAGGGTTAGAAGACCTATAACACATAGTCCTTGCCCACTAGGAGTTTAATCTAGTCTCGTGGGGGAATAAAACAGAAAACAAATAATTACAAAAGAAAATAGTAATGCTAGTGCCATTTGAATTAGAAGATACAACAGAGGGAATGCTCACTTTTTTGCTGGAGTGACCCGAAAAAATTACTCATGAGTGGAGCCTTGAAAGATGGAGAGGATTTGTAATATAGGTGAGGATAGCAGCATTATTGTATGTGACAGAGAGAAGGGTGAATTAAAGACATGTTCAAGAGAACTGCATGCAATCTACAGTTAATGCAGGGTCCATGTGGAATAGCAGGCTGAAAATTATTGTATTATTGGAGTGTATGGAATTTTGCTTGCCTAACTAAGAAGTATATTATTTACTTAGATAATGGGGAACTAAGTAAGACTTTTGAACAAAGAGATGGCAGTTTTAGTATTTCAGGAATATTTATCTGGTGATAATGGTCAGGATTAACTGAAAATGATGAGAGACTGGGGGCAGGAGTAGAAACTATTCTGGGCAGGAACATGTCTGAAAATCTTCCCTGGTAAGATGTCACAGAAAAGCCCGAACGAACTTTTTAGCCAGCCCAATATTTTTGAGGGAAAGAGGTTTGTTTTCAGTTTTCCTTCTGTTATTACAGAGGACTCAAAATAAAGGAGATTTCTGCAAATGGTTCAGCAAGGGCACAAGTATGCAAGCTCTCCATATAGGCACTGTGCTAGGTACTAGGCTAGAGTGAAGAACACGACAGGATCCCAGTCTCTCAAGCATTCATGGTGTAGAACAGTGGTTCTTAACCCTCACCATATATTAGAACCACTGGGGAAAATTTCAAAATCACAGTTGCCCAGGCACCTCCCCAGGAATTCTGATTCACCTATCTAGGGTGACATCAAGACATATTTATATTTTACATTGTTTTTTGCTCTAAATAATTTTTGAGGAATAATTTTAGAATTATATAAAAGTTGTAAAGGTAGTACAGAAGTTCCTATATAGCTCTCACCCAGTTTACCCTAATGTTAAGATCTCATATAACCACGGTCCATTTATCAAAACTTAAACTAAGATTGTTACATTACCATTAACTAAACTACAGATATTATTGGGATTTCATTAGTTTTTCTGCTAATGTCTTTTTTCTGCTTCTGGATCCAATCTAGGCTACAACATTGCATTTAGAGCAGTGGTCCCCAACCTTTTTGGCACCAGGGATGGGTTTCATGGAAGACAATTTTTCAACGGAGGGTGGGGGATGGTTCAGGAGGTAATGGGAGCAATGGTGAGTGATGGGGAGCTGCAGATGAAGCTTCACTGGCTCGCCTGCCCACTGCTCACCTCCTGCTGTGCGGCCTGGTTCCCAACAGGCTGAGGACCAGTACCGATCCATGGCCTGGGGGTTGGGGACCCCTGATTTAGAGTATTTTAATGGCTCTCCAGATGATTCTAATGTGCAGCTAGGGTCGAGGACCACTGGTATGGTGGGAGGTTACAATGCTATTTCCCTCCTGTTTGCCACACCCTCTCCCACAATAAAATTTCCCCCCTCAGCATATATTAATTGAACAATGATTACTCATATCCCATTGTATTACTCAGGTAACAGTAGATATTGAGGACAGCACACCATATGATAGTCCCTTACATCTGGATGGCACTTCAGAACTTGTACTTTCAAATACACTTTTTAAAATTTGATCTGCACAAGAATCTTTGAAATAGGCTGGGCAGTGATTATCATTCCCATTTTACAGATGAGGGAATAACTGCAGAGAGGATGGGTACTCACCCAAAGTCTCACCTAACTTCCTCAGTGTTCTTTGTGATGGTTTTCAATCTTTGGAAATCTTGTCTCAATTTTACCTGCCAGGGTGGGTCAAGATTAGAGAAAAAAAGAGTAAACTGAAACCTCAAGTTCTAAAAGTGTTTCATTAAGATGAATCTTACGAGATTTGCATATGTACAATGTACAGGGGCACAAAGGTGAAAGAGATAAGGAAGTAGATGATATGAAGAAATATAGTACATTAGAGGAAGAGGGGTCTTCTCTTTCTACCTTTTAGGACCCTTTCTGCTTGCCTTCTTATCCCACTCCCTATATAGACATACAAACTCTGCTTTCTAACTATTCTCATTCAAACACGAGTGTGTATCTAAAAATGTTCCAGTTTTCTTCTTGGCTTAGAACCTTGATGTCATAGAATTAAAGTTTTGCAAGAATCCATCTAGCCCTACTTTGTGCTACCCTCCACTTGTGGGTAGAATAGTTGTTCTTTAAAATCCATGAATCTTATGATATTAAATCTAATATGATGTGTGAGAAGATCCAAAGCTTTAATTGATATTCAAAGGGATCCTTCACTCAGATGAAAGATTAAGAATCATTACACTGAGAAGTGTTTCTCAAAGTGTAGACAGATGACAACCTGCCTTGAATCATTCGGGTTTTTTTTAAGGCAGATTCCTAGGTCCTAGCTCCAGAGAAAGGGTTGTCTCATAAACTAAAAATAATCGTATATAATGGTTATTTATACAATCATATATACTCTAGACAGGATAATAGACATTTCAAATCATATAATGAAAGGGCTACATATTTAAGTTCCTGTTTTCCATAAAGAGAAATTTTTCCTTTAAATGAAGTAGCAATCTACTTCATCAGTGTCTCCAATTCTGCTTTGCATTTCAGAACTTGTCACACTTGGTAATATATTTTTGGTGTGATTATCATTATATATGTTATCTTAAGCCAGGAGGGAAAATACCTCATTTTCTACAGGAGTCTGTCCACAAATTAAGCAAGACTATCACTTTTAGCAACACCCCCATCTAGTGGCAATTTGCAGCTATTACGGCCTCAGTTTTACAACGTGTATAGTAGCTCAGTGTTTCTCAAACTTGTTCTTGTTTCATCAGCTGCCCAGAATTGTTCCCTCCTCGAAAAAGAATAATGGTATTCTTTTCCAAATTTTCACGTGGAAAGAAACTATCAGAGAACACGTAGGTGTATGAATTTTATCAATTTTTAAGGTTTTTGTTTTAAAACCTACAATCTTCTCTATTTTTCTCATGATTTTAAATACACTGACACGCTACTGTTGGTTAAATTTAAACATGTTTTACCTGCAGAAATTCTCTCACAAATAACCTGCAATAAATTGAAATGCATACACTTTTGAACACTTCCTTTTCTCATGTATAAATTAAAATGTTTGCTGAATTTTGCAAAATGTCAAAACAAAAACCCATAATCTTCTCTTTAAATCTTTGGCTCCTTATGATGGTTACTTTCTGCTAGTGGTCTGTTAGTTCATGACAAATGAACAGGTTTAGGAACAGCTTTTCATGGTTGTTGAATCTTTTCAATCTGTGGAGTTTTACGGTTTTGAATAATTTATTTTTCAGGCAGTATGTCCCCCCTCTCCCCATGAAGCAACAGGATAAAATGCTCAGAAGTAGAATTATATATACAGAGGAACTTGATAAATACACAGGTGAGAGATGACGTTACAAGTAAGTGGGTAAAAGGCCAGGCTAGCTGTGCAGGGATAATTGGTCATCGCATGGGATGAAAACTGACTCTTGTTGGCCCTCAACTTTTTAGAGCTGCCCAGAAACAACGACTACAATTCCCTCAATGTGTATGGCATGTTGACTCAGTTTCATTCTCGCTTCATTTCTCGTGAGAGATGGAGCACAAGGAACAGTCCCCACTTCTTACCCGTTAATTTGGTGTGGGGCTACCCATCCATTAGATTTGAAATAAGGTTTACTTGGGGTTCCTTTCTGACAAAACATCGTTTTTCTTGTGGAAAAATGGGAGCATACAGAGAAGTATAAATGACCATCTGTGTATTCCCACCATTCAAGAAGAATTAACGTTTAATAACATCCGATCATCTTGCTATGTGCTAATTGTATATACATATTCTTTTTATTTAAAAATTAGCGTCATGCACTGGATATGTAGGTTGCTTATTATTTCGAGAGAGACATCTTTATGCATAAATCTTCATCGACGTGCCCCCCTTGGAAAGGGTGGTAACTTGGAGCTTCTGACTGCCCTGGAAAGGCGGGCAACTGCAAGGGGTCCGCGCGATGCAGCAGACACACGTTCAGAAGCAGAACGAGGGATCCAGGCCCTAATCGCCACCTAGCGGTGGCCTCCGGCTCCGCCCGCCGCGCACCGCACTTCTCCTGCACTGCGCAGGCGCCATGCATGGAGACCGGAAGCGGAAGGCTTGAACGCTTTGGGTGGGCACCTGTGAGACCACTAGCCATGCGCGACTTGGAGGAGACCGGCCCTCGACCCACAGCGACCTCGTGCGGGTGCGTGAAGCCGGCTCTGGAGACAGGTAACTTATAAGAGGCTGAAGGTTCCGCACTCCGAAGAGCCCTAAGTGCAGGGAGCCGACTTCACTGCAGGGAGGGACGGCAAATGCGAGACCTAGAATGGACGTGGGTCGTTTTTCCTGGTTGTTGGAAGGCACGGGTCATGTGCTTAGGAGACCACGTGATGTGTCTTAGGCGAGCGGGATGACATCATCTCTCCTGTTCTGTTCTTGGTAGCTAAGGTGGCCTGGTCTTGGCAGAACAGCCACGTGCAGTGTAGCAGCCTTTGTCTTGGGGAGTTCTCACCCATAAATGAGAGATAGGATATATACCTCAGGTGTTCTGCCGATTCGGGATTAATGCCACAAGAGAGAAGCAACCTGTGCTGCAGGAAGTGTAGGAAATAGTTTTAAACTGGGCATTGAAAGATGGCATGCGTTTGTTTCTCTTTATTTTCACCCCTATTTTTAGGGCAGAATATATTAACTTTAGAAATCCGAGGAAGCAAATGGAAAAAAAGATGAAAGTAGTTGGCCATTACCCAGAGAAAACCACTGTTAACATCTTGGTGTCTACTTTCCATAATAGTTTCAGTGCCTACATATTAGAAACATGAGGTGATATGCGACACCATTGTTTTATAACTTCAAAAAAAACTTGAGGACTTCCCTGGTGGCGCAGTGGTTAAGAATCCACCTGCTAGTGCAGGGGACACGGGTTCGAGCCCTGGTCCTGGAAGATTCCTACATGTTGCAGAGCAGCTAAGCCCGTGCACCGCAACTACTGAGCCTGCGCTCTAGAGCCTGCGAGCCACAACTACTGAAGCCCTCGCGCCTAGAGCCCATGCTCCGCAGCAAGAGAAGCCACCGCAATGAGAAGCCTGTGCACCGCAATGAAGAGTTGCCCCCACTCACAGCAGCGAAGACCCAATGCAGCCAAAATTAAATAAATAAATTTAAAAGAATAAAACAAAACTTTGATTTGAATCCCAGCTCTACATTTATTAAAAACAAAACAAAACTTAAGATTCATGAAAATCTTTCCATGGCAATTAATAATGTTAATTTTGAGAAGTTGCACACTATTTTGTTTTATAGATGTGCTCTTATTTAACCAGTTCCCTATTGTTGGGCATTTAGGTTATTGCTGGTTTTCATTGTTCTAAATGAAAGTTTTGAAACTAAAATCTTTGTGTATGTTCTAAATGTTTAACTTGAATTTCTAAAAGGTATTGTTATGTGGTCAACGGTTGTGCCTGTTAAAAAAAAATTGTTGCATACTGCCAGATTGTAGGTCTGATAGTTTTTTTTAAATTAATTAATTATTTATATTTTGGGCTGCTTTGGGTCTTTGTTGTTGCACGTGGGCTTTCTCTAGTTGTGGCGAGTGGGCTACTCTTCGTTGCGGTGTGTGGACTTCTCGTTGCGATGGCTTCTCTTGTTGCAGAGCACAGGCTCTAGGCACGTGGGCTTCAGTAGTTGTGTCATGCAGGCTCAGTAGTTGTGGCACATGGGCTTAGTTGCTCTGCGGCATGTGGGATCTTCCCGGACCAGGGCTGGAGCCCGTGCCCCTGCATTGGCAGGCAGATTCTTAATCACTGAACCACCAGGGAAGCCCCAGGTCTGATATTTTGACAGGCAGGAAAGAGCAGGGCTCAGAGGTCTACAGAGCATGGGGTCCGGGAGCTGTAAGTCAGAAGTGTTGGATGGGGGACTTCCCTGGTGGCCCATTGGTTAAGACTCTGTGGTCCCAGTGCAGGGGGCCAGGGTTCGATCCCTGGCCAGGGACTAGATCCCGCATGCATGCCGCGACTAAGATCCTGCACATGGCAACAAAGATCCCGCATGTGGCAACAAAGCTCCCACATGCCACAACTAAGACACGGCACAGCCAAATAATAAATAAATAAATAAACAAACACAAGGAAGAGTAGCCCCCGCTCGCCGCAGCTAGAGAAAAGCCTGTGCGCAGCAACGAAGACCCAACCTAGCCAAAAATAAATAAATAAATAAATTTAAATAAATAAATAATAAAAATTTAAAAAAAGAAATATGACATCTGTTAATAGTGGGAAACAAAAAGTTTAGAGAGTAGCGAGACATAAGGAACTCAGAATCCGGAGGACTGGTGTAGTGTGTTTTCAGGAGGGGAGGGACTGGCAGAGGGAAGACAAATTATAACAAGGGTAATTTAATAGTCTGGGCAAGAGGTGAAAAGGACCTGGACATTTCTGTCTGCACAAGACTTGTTGATAAGACTTGTGTACAGAAAGCCTCTGCGTTAATAACTTGTGGGTTTTTTAAAATTATATGGTTAGTACAGTTGTAATATTGTTAAATTGAGGGAAAAGCCTGTGTAAGGGCTTTAAAAATCTCTCCTTGCTGAGCACCTTCTGTTGTACTAGGTACTTTACATATTTTAGTCATCTTTTCAAGATAGGATGATTATCCTTGTTTTATAGCTGAGAAAACTGGATTTAGAGAGGTAGGCAGTTTTGCCCAAGGTCACACAGCTAGTGTTACGGCCCTGTGTTGTTTTTGTCCTTTTTCTCTTTTCATACCAGCCATAGGCCCCAGGGAAACTTCTCCCTCTTTCCATGTGGTTCTCATGCCAGTACTACTCTGGCATACCTGTGCTTTCCCTATTCTGCATGTATGTAAGGCAGTTTGATTTAATTGTTGATTTACTTGTCCCCTCTGTCAATGTACTGCACACGTTGATGGTGAGAACTGGTTCTTGTTTATGCCTGTTCCCAGGCACTCAGCGCAGTGCTTACCAAATGGTAGGTGCTTAATGTTTTCTTTTTGTTTGTTTTTTGAGATATGAGGCAAGAGGAAGAAGATCAGAATTCCCTTGGGTGGACGTTCTCAGGCCTCCACTTCAAGGAGAGCATTCAAGCAGAATTTATATTTGGAAATTATTGAGCATTTATATTTCATAGCATTTAATATCCCAAGAACCGGGGCACAGAGAATAAATAAGTTCCAGACGTATTAGAATATGGTTAAGTTCCGACGTTTATTAGATGGATAGTTGATATGTTGAGAGTGGTCCCAAACATTTGAGAGTGACATAGCTGAGGGACTCCTTCCAATGTAGCTCGTTCAGTTCATTGCTTACCCAGTATTATCTTGCTTATGTTCTTATAGAGGTGAACAAACAGGGTTGGAATAAATCTAATTGGTTACAACTTATATTTATCATGGCGTATGTATAGCCTGTGAAAAACAGGTATAGACTGATTCAATGAAGTGATAGCTCAAGTTAGTTATAAACTTGTAGACCCCCAATCAGATAGTCAAAGGCAAAAGTCTTTGATCATTACTACAGATAAGACATTTCCCATGATATTGAAGCATATTGTGAGTTTCTCTCAATCAAGTGTTAACTCCACTGTGAAAAGAGTTCTTGTTTTGTATTTTTTCCCCCAAACTTAGCACAATGTCTGGCAATTGTAGACACTTGGAAAGTGTTTGTTAAATAAAACAGAACATAACTGACTAGGGTAGGAGCCCTTTTTGGCCATTGTTCTTCATGATATTTTTATGAACACCAGAGAATTGTTTGACTTCAGTTCCTTCATCTTTAAGATGTTTACTGGGGGCTTCCCTGGTGGCGCAGTGGTTGAGAATCTGCCCGCCAATGCAGGGGACACGGGTTCGAGCCCTGGTCTGGGAAGATCCCACATGCCGCGGAGCAACTAGGCCCGTGAGCCACAACTACTGAGCCTGCGCGTCTGGAGCTTGTGTTCCGCAACGAGAGGCCACGACCGTGAGAGGCCCGCGCACCGCGATGAAGAGTGGCCCCCGCTCGCCGCAACTAGAGAAAGCCCTCGCACAGAAACGAAGACCCAACACAGCCAAAAATAAATAAATTAATTTAAAAAAAAAAAAAAAAAGATGTTTACTGTATCAATTCCACAGAGCATAGGTGAAGGTTTAAAAAAAAGAGTGCCTATAAATGTAGTTGGAAAAAAATGTAAAGTCATCAAAAACATACACAGTGTCGATGGATCTTAGAATCATAATATTGAGAGAGAGAAAGCAGGTCTGAGAAGATACCAGTTTTTATAGAACTCAAAGACAAAATAAATGAAACGTTGTTTAAGCATGCATATGCATGTGATAAAATCATATTTAAGAAAAGAAATGAATGATAAAGACCACATTCAGGCTCTTGTTCAGGCACATTCAGGGGAAAGGTAGGGAGAGAGGCAACATAAAAAGATGCAAGTTGTTGGTAAAGCACTAGTTTTTGGGCTGGGTGGTGGTACACAGGATTTCATTTTAACATTATGCTTTATTATATATACGTTGCATGTAATATTTTATATGTATCACGTAATTTAGTTTTTATAAGTGAAAAGTCACGAAAGGTGCTGTGAAGGACAGGCCTATAGTCTCACTGCCCACCTGTGCTGATAGGATAGATTTAATGGAAACTGGAAATAAAATGAGGTTCTAGAATGTCTTTATATCATCTCTTAAAAGAAGCTAATACAGCCTTCATGAAATGTGAAAAAAAAAGTTATCTATAAATTCAAAATGCTAGTTGCAGATACCTACTTTAAACCTATATTGATGTTGCCTGGCCAGTTTTTTCTTCTTTTGAGTTACTGGTTTAAAACATTTTAAAAATGATTTGTGATTATTGTAAAATTTTCAAATATTATAGAAATTACAGAGTTGAATATAAAAATAATCCAACAATCCCTCCACCAGTTTTTTTTTTTAACTCACAGTTCCATCTTTATTACTTCTAACAAAAGATACTAGGATGATACTTTTGTCTCTTCCTTGGTATTTGTCTACTGTATTAACTTCGACCATCCCAATAGAAGAATGTGCCAATAAATTATTGATGACTTTTTACTGTTGCCTGTATGGTGCAGTGATACCAATATCAGAGGGATTACAACCAGCCTAAACAGAAAAGGACACAGTTTAAAGTCTCCACCAGTTTTAACCAATGTTAAAATTTTGGTGAATATCCTTCTAGATAGCTTTCTAGACATACATATGTACATGTTTAGTTAGGTAAATACGTAAAATTTTCATAAATAGGATTATGTTACACACATTCTTCTTTCACTTTTTCACTTTCCATTTTAATCAGTTTAGACTCACATAATCCTTTTCTCCATGTAGCATGAATTTTTAAAGTACCTATCCTCTTGTAGGCAAGTACTAGACAATGAGAACGTAGCAATCAGTAAGACAGAAAAACTCCTGCCCACATGGAGTTTACATTCTAGTGGGGCAGAGAGCTGCTGGAGCAAGCCTAACCTGAAATCTATACTGCCTCTAGATATTTTAGTACTGTGATCCCATACACTCCCTTTATTGCTTAATTAAACTAGTTTTTTTCGTGTGTTCTGTTGTTTTCAATTGAAAGCATTTTAACCTATATACAGTCTCTGTCTCCTTATCTTTCATTATTCTTTGCCTTGTATGTTCATACTCCAGCCAATCAAAATGGCTTGTTCCCTCCTTATGCTATAAAATTTCTCATTTAACTTTGTGCAGCTTATTCCCGCTGTTTGAAATACCCTCTTAGCCCTAACCAGGGTCACATAACATAGTAATGGTTGCATAGAATTTGAATTATAGTCATAGTAGTTCTTCTAAAAATGAATTTTTCCTTTCATTCTTTCTTTCTTAGACCAATACTCTTTCCAGTTTATTATCTAAAGGGATGTATTGATAACAATGATATATGTAATGATAAGGATATTTATATGTATTTTTGAATGCTATAAGAATCTTATTTTATAGTTGTATAACATCTAATAGATTTTAAAACTATGAAATCGATGCATTAAAGAAAACATGTCTTCCTACATCTTTGCTTGACCTTTTCATTAATGATTTCTTATCTAATTTTCTTCTGTAGGGAATCTTTTAACGGAGCCAATTGGTTACTTGGAATCCTGTTTCTCGGCCAAGAATGGTACTCCAAGGCAGCCATCCATTTGTAGCCATTCACGGGCTTGTTTGAGGATTAGAAAAAGCATCTTTAATAATCCTGAACATTCCTTGATGGGCTTAGAACAGTTTTCTCATGTTTGGTAAGTGGTTTTATAGTTAGAAATGGTACTTTGGACCATAACTTGCCCTTGAGTAAAGTACTCCAGTTGGAGGCAACCCTGGAGACTGCCATCCAGACCACCTATGTCTATTGCATGGGATTTTTGTACTATATTCATGCATGTGATTGTCTGCATAACTTGGACACCCTCGGGGAAGCTTGGGATCCACTGAGGGGCACATTCCATCTGCAGTTGGTTCCAGTTTTGTTGAATGACTTCTGTTGAGCTGAAATCTGTAGACCTTCTTGATTCTGTCCGTGGGTCATTACTCTGTCCTCTAGACCACGGGTCAGCAAGCTATGGCCTGTGGACCAAACCCATCGCATCTTCTGTTTTTGTAAGTAAGTTTATGGGAACATAACCACGTGCATTCATTTATGTGTTGGCCGTGGCTGCTTTTGTGTTACAACAGCAGAGTTGAATTATTTATAGCAGAGACTCGTTGACCTGCAAACCCTAAAATATTTACCGCCTGGTCCTTTACAGAAAAGGTTTGTGGACCCTGCTCTAGACCCATGAAATATTGTTTATTCAGGTACTTGACAGAAGCCTGTTAAGGTCCTAGCATGTGCCAGCCATTGTGTTACGGGCAGTGGATATAGAGATAAGACTGTCTTCTTTCAAAAAACGGGAATGATATTACTCTTTTTTCCCCCACTGATTATATTTTAGTACCATTAGAAGCATTCTTTCTGTTTTAATTTGTGGGGAATTAAAGTTTTTTTTCTCCCTCAAATCATTATGATAGATTGACTGTGTTCTTTTCTTACTCAGTGGTTTGGTTTATTTTCAATAGGATTTTGTTTGTTTTTCACAAAAATGGTCATTTGAGCTGTAAGGCAAAAGTGCAGCCTCCTAGGCTGAATGGTGTGAAGACTGGCGTTTTCTCTACAAGGAGCCCACATCGTCCCAATGCGATAGGACTGACCCTAGCCAAACTGGAAAAGGTAGAAGGTAATTTGTACTTTTACCACTTTTTCCTTAACCAAAAGAAGTCTTATAAAATCAACATAGTATTCAGCACTGGCTGTTATTGAGACAAGTACCAATGGTGTTAGTCCCTGTGAACCACCAGACATTGAGGAAAATGAAACGATTAAAAGAATGTCAGCATTGAAACACTTTGGAATAAGCTCTCATAGGATGCTCAGAGTTAGTTTATATCATTATATTTATCACAAGTTATTAAATTATTTAAAAGTAACTCTTAAGATTTTATAATCATTAAATTAGTAACCAAATTTTTTCTGACTTGGAATGCAGTAAATATAAAATGATCTAAAAATAACTGGACACTCTCAAAATTTAACGCACCGTAACTGGTTGCACATGCATATATGGTCAGCACATCTGACCACAGTGTGGTGGATCATTTCTTCCTTGCAGCCCTGAGGAAATGAACATGCATCGTGGCTGCAGTGCCGCTGTCCACTGTGATGTGAGGCAGAGGGTCTGGGATGAATACACCATAGGTTGAACATTTGTCAGATTGTGGGAGAACCTGTGTAGAATACCAGATTTAACTACGTGTTCATATATAAACGCGTTACTGAGCCGTTAATTTCTGAAAGCCTCCCATTCTTGAATCCCTTGGACCTGATCAGCACATTTGGGTGTGCTGGGTAACACACAACTTGGGTAACAGTACTGGAACGTTTTATGATCGTTTGTGCAACCCACACGTATTTTCTGAGCACCGAATATGTGCCAACCATTGTTCTAGGTGCTGGGGATATAGTGGCAAGCAGATTAGATAAAAATCCCAGCCCTGCAGAGGATCTTAGTATTCTAATGAGGAAGATCAAATCAGAAAGGTGAAAGGCAAACACAGTAGCGCTGTAGACACTCTTATAAATAAGCGTTATGAGGATGACCAGTGTTTGTGTGGTGCTTTGCAGTTTATAAAGAGTGTTCATGTATGGTAGCTCACAGTGGCTCGTGGGCTTGATAAGGTAGCAGTCTCCATGTTATGGATGAGGGCACTAAGGCTCTTTGATGTTTGATAATTTACCGAATAGCATCCAGCCAGGGGGTTGTCTGACTTCAAATCCCATGAACTCTCACCTGTGCCCCAGTGCTTTTCTTTCTTTTGCAGACATTATTAGGCATAATCCATCACTTAGAAAGTCCAAAATCTTCTTTCCAAAGTTCCAGGTTCATTCCCAATAAGCATGTTTTAGAAATCAGATTCCTTTGTTAGTCATGTTTTTCTCAAATGGAGATAGGATCAAATGTGATCACATGCAGTTTTTGATTCTCACTGGGCCAGTTTTCCAAGGATCAAGTTAGTAGACTTTGCCCCAGTAGAAGGAACTGAACAGCAGCTGTATAAGTGGGACAACAGGGGACCTTTCCTTAATATTTGGTAATGGTGACTTATGTTCTGTTTAATTTTTTTTTTTTTTGGCTGCATTGGGTCTTTGTTGCTGTGCGCGGGCTTTCTGTAGTTGCGATGAGTGGGGTTTCTCATTGCCTCTCGTGTTGTGGGGCATGGGCTCTAGGCACGCTGGCTTCAGTAGTTGCAGCACATGGGCTCAGTAGTTGAGGCACGTGGGCTCTAGAGCGTGTGGGCTTCAGTAGTTGTGGCATGTGGGCTCAGTAGTTGTGGCATATGGGCTCTAGGGCACATGGGCTTCAGTAGTTGTGGCGCATGGGCTCAGTAGTTATGGCTTGTGGGTTCTAGAGTATAGGCTCAGTAGTTGTGGCACACAGACTTGGTTGCTCAGCAGCACGTGGGATCTTCCCGGACCAGGGATCAAACCCATGTTCCCTGCATTGGCAGGCGGGTTCTTAACCACTGCGCCACAGGGAAGTGCCCTGTTTAATTATTCAGTGGAGTATTAGATTCCTATTGCTGTGTAACAAATTACCATGCACTATCAGTTTAAACAGCACACATTTATTATGTGTTTAAAACATTACAATGTTTCTATAGGTTAGGAGTATGGGCACAGCTTAGCTGGGTCCTCACTTAAGAGTCTCACCAAGCTGCAGTGAAGTGGAATGAGTTCTTTTCTGGAGGTTTGACTGTAGAAGAATCCATTTCCAAGCCCTCTCTGGTCATAGGCAGAATTCACTTCCTTGCAGCTGTGGTTCTGAGGGTCCTGGCCTCTTGCTGGTTGTTGGCTGGTGGCTGCTCCCAGCTCCTAGAGGTGGCCCCCAGTGCCTAGAGACCTCTCGCAGTGCCTTGCCACACAGGCTTTCCCAGCAAGGCAGCTTGCTTCTTCAAGCCCACAGGGAGAGTCTCTCAAGTGAACCTGCCAGCAAACACAGGAGTCTTAGATAACATAGCATAGTCACTGAAGTGATATCAAGTCATACTCAAGAAGAGGGGATTATACACCAGGAGGTGACATCATGGGGCCACCTTAGACTCTGTTTGACACATTGGAAGCCATCATCAGTCCCACAGAGATATATTGAGGACTCTGATGTGTCTGGAACAGAGTTAGAAGCCCCCAGTGATGCAAAGGTGAGATGGCCCCACCTAGTGCTCGAGGACCTACTTACTGTCTAGGGGGAGAGACTCTAAGCAGGTCATTGCTAGACCATGTGACGAGGGCTTCAGGAGAGGTTTGGGCACAGGTACCTCTGTGGAACCCAAAGGAAAGAATGCTTATGTCTGGAAGAGCCAGAAAGGCTCTGTAAAGGAGGTGTTTCGTGAGAGCCTTGAAGAGCAAGTAGGAGTTTGACAGATAAAGAAGAGAATGGGTTTCTAGGTAGAAAGAAAACTGTATGTTGGCACCAGGTATAAGAGGGCCTGGTGCGTAAGAGAATTGTGAGTAAGCTTGGTGGGCTTTAAGCAGATGTTGTTGATTCTCCTGTTGTTTGCACTGTTCTTCATTGTTAATATTTCTAAGAGGATGTTTTTCACATTACAGGTGGAGCCATATACCTTTCTGGAATTGACATGATTCATGGCACACCTGTACTAGACATAAAGCCCTACATAGCTGATTATGACTCGCCACAAAATTTGATTGAGCCTTTAGGGGACGTTAATTTACAGAATAACCAATGTAAACCAAAAACCGTGTCCCAGTGTGACGGCAAGACTGATAGCTGTGACGAGCAACAGCTCTCAGGGTATGAGGAACCACAGCTCTACAGTTGTACTAAGGAGAAACCTAAATGTCCTGAAGATAGAACTTCGGGAGAAAACAACGCAAAACAAGACAACTCAGCAAAAATCCAGCAAAGCTCACCTGAGCCCAGGGAGAGAGCAGCAGATTTGGGTGAAGAATCAGGAAGTGGTCCGAGTCCTAGGGTAGCAGAAGAGCAAAGTGGCCCATGTTGCCTGGAGAAGAGCGTTTCAGAGGAACAAGCAGACAGCAGGCTGAGGAGAGGGGAAGCAGCGGTGGTTGCACAAGGACACAGCACGGAGATGCCGCCCGAGGCTCTTCTCTGCCCTTCCAGGGCGGCTGGTGCAGCCCACCGCAGTGCGGTCCCCACCTGGGTGAGAGAGGCTCCCGTGGCCACCTTGGGAGTCCGGTTTACTCCTCACGCGGAGATGGACCTTGAGCACCTCAGCTCAGGTGAACCAGGTACTTTCCATTTCTTGTTTCTGAATGAGAGATGAGCTTTTACTTGGAGGTTTAGGCAAACTTGCTATTTCTGAGGGCAGTTTTTTTTTTTTTTTTTTTGCGGTACGCGGGCCTCTCACTGTTGTGGCCTCTCCCGTTGCGGAGCACAGGCTCCGGACGCGCAGACTCAGCGGCCATGGCTCACGGGCCTAGCCGCTCCGCGGCATGTGGGATCTTCCCAGACCGGGGCACGAACCCGGGTCCCCTGCATCAGCAGGCGGACTCCCAACCACTGTGCCACCAGGGAAGCCCTGAGGGCAGTTTTATATAGAGTATTTGTGATTATGACTTGTAAAGAAACGTAGACGTATAAAATCATACTTGGGCAACGTCATCATCTGATGGCTTTCAATCAACAACTGTTTGTTCAGCACAGTGAGTGCCAGGCACTCAGTCAAGTGTTCGCTGAGAATGGCTGCTGCCCAGGAATGGGGCCTCTTGTTTGCGTGTGGCAGTAGCTCTTGGAGTTCTCAAACAGCGTTTGGAAGCTAAATTGTGCTTGCTCTGTACCTGTGTAGATCGAGCTTTTTCATCTGTTTCACTATCTGAGTAGAGAAATGTCTCATCTTGTTTCACCTATTGGGTGGTGGATAGCTCGACCTCTGTCACAGAGCCCAGGAGTAAGAAGGAAAGAGTGTCTTAGCACAGAAATTGTCCCTATAAAGTCCCAGCACTAGAGGCACGCACTTCACTGCAGAAGAGAGAGGCCACAGGGCTTTTAACTTGGAGACTGTTTACTCTAATACATGGTTGTTAAAAAACATTGTTATCTGGTTTTTCCAGCCCACAAGCAGATTCCAAGCAGCTGTCCAGAGTGAAGGAGAGGCCCATTAAAAAGTGGGTGCGGTGATTCCTGTAAGAAGTAGCCAGTTAGTTGCCAAGGAGATGTCAGATTTCACCTGCCCCTGGATGGTTGTTCTACTCATTCTTTCCTAAGGCTTTATGTTTAAACAGAACATTTGATTTTTAAATCAATCTCTTTATTTTCAAAGTTTTGTTTATCAAAGTTGTTTCATCACTGTGTACCGTTCATGGGAAGAGGAAGGTCAGCTTTTTTTTTTTTGTGGGGAGTGGGGTGCGTCCCACACGGCTTGTGGGATCTTGGTTCACCGCCCAGGCATTGAACCCTCGCCCTCAGCAGTGAAAGCGTAGAGTCGTCGCCACTGGACCGCCAGGGGAATCCCCAAGTTGTGTTCTTCTTATTGCAGGTATTGGTCAGGCTTCATTTAACTATTTTCAGTCAGCGGAGGAAGCAAGGTGTGCCATCGAGGCTGTGCTGTCAGCTGACCCTCGATCTGTATATCGACGGAAACTCTGCCAGGATCGTCTTTTCTACTTTACAGTAGACACAGCACATGTCACGTGCTGGTTTGGTGATGGCTTTGCAGAGGTCTTAAGGATCAAGCCGGCTTCTGAGCCTGTTCAGATGGGTGACCCTGCGGAGTCCTTGGTGCCTCTGGGATCGTGAGTAGCCTCCGTCGAGTCTTTAAGGCAGCCTAATTGACTTCGGTGTGGCTGTTGGATTTTCTGTACAAGCTAATGATGTGCCTTCTTTGCAGAAAGAAGCAACGCTTTGTGATCTCACTGCTTTGATTGATTTGGGTTGTTCAGAATATTTATTTGAAAAACATGTATTTTAATAAACTAAGAGATAAAGAATTTGGAGAAATCGCCATATCATGATCGTTTTTGATCAGTTAATATTGAAGAATCCAAAGGTGATGCTTTATCACTGTTTTCTGAAAGAAGTCAATTCTTCTTGGCACTTGATAAAACTAACTGGGCAGAAGCTGGGTGGATGTGTTGAAAAATTCATGTTGGTTTTTTTGTCTGAAAAAGCCTGACCTCTCTGTTTTATTCTAAATCAAACTGAGTTATGATATCTTAAGAAACTTAACAAATCAAAAACCAAGTAGTTATAAAGATCTTTAGAGATTAAACCCCTGTGTTTCAGAGACTTTGCCATACACTCACGCATGCACACACGCACACACACGTATGTGTAATATTTAATCCTGATTCCAAAATTAGAGACGCTAAGGTTTCTTTGGATGCCTTTGTATCAGAAAAGAAAGTCACTCTGAGAAGTCCAAGAAAATAACTTAATTACTGGTTTATTTCTTGTTTATTCTATGACTGTTTACTGAGAACTATCGTGAGTTAGGTTTTGGTGATAGAATGAAATGAACAGGATGCAATTCTCGTTGCAGGTCATAGTTGTGGAGGAAGAAGACACAAACACATTGTTGTATTACAGTTAGATAGAGTAATTAAGTCCATACATGATTCCTGTGTAAGCACCACACGGGAATCAGTCGTAAGAATGTATTGCCTATAGGTGACTTTAAAGATGTGATCCCAGATAACTGAAGGTTTATGATCAGTGTAACCAAATTAGGCACCTGTCAACATGACGTAGGCTTTCCTAATCGCAACTGTAGATCTTAATAGCTGCTTGATCATGGTTTTGAAATGAGCCCTGCTGCCTGTGGATACTTGCACAGAGTCATTTGTGGCTGATGACACTGCACTCCTGAAACAAACTGGGTTTTATTTGAGTTTACTTAGAACCTCTTGGGGAGGTATATTTAATTTGACTTTTAAAAGCTTTTTATTTCTAGATAATTACAGATTCATAGGAAGTTGGAAAAAATAGGGCAAAGGTCCCATGTACCCTTTACCTAGCTTCTTCCCATGGTAACATCTTACATAACTATGGTAAGGAAGTTGACATTGGTACAATCCACCCTTTTGGATTTTGAATTCTTTTCTCTTAAAATTACTTTGAGACTGAGTCAGGTCTTGAAGCACAAAATGTTGATATTTAATATGGTAAAAATAACTCTTAGGACCATACCAACTGGCCTTCTAGCAAGAGGACTGTTCTGTTGTTTGGGGTTTTAATATACATTCTCAGGATTTTAAAACTAAAATCCTAAATATAATCCAGCTTAGTTCTCTGCCAGCTCACCAGTCTTTTCATTATACCCAGTGTTTGGCCCTCTCCCCCTGCTTAAACCCCTCGGTGATGACCCTTCATGCCTGCCCTGTGTAGCTCATTATTAAAGTGTTCTTCCTTTGTATGAGATCAGATCTGTTCTCTGATAACTCCACCCTCTGGCCAGGCCACATAGGGTAAAGCTGATCAGGCTTCCATGTTTTCTTCAGCTGTTTCTCATATAACGTGTTCTTGAGCCTCACCCCACCCTCAGTCCTTGAGTCCCCCATGTGAGCTTTTGTCTCTAGGCAAGTGTCATATTGTGAGGAAATTTGTATCTCTGGGTTACGAACTTCCATCCCTCAGCAAGATTAATCATTTGAAGTAAATCTACTATTCCTTTTCATCTTGGAAACTTTTTCAAAAGAAAGGGACGCAAATGACATCCACCTTAGAGTTTAGCCTTTGCTTTTTGGTGCCTGTTTGGGGAACCCTGATAGCTGATTATTTTCACTAGCTTGGAGATAAACTCCAGGAGTTCAAGCTGTTTAGGTAATTCTGGCTTTCGGCCCACCTGCCCCAGCTTTCCAGAACAGTCACTTCCACAAGAAACGCTGATACTTGTCAGTCACATATAGGAAGAGATTAGAAGGATGAGTGCCATTTATTACATTTTAAAATTGTATCCTGGCTTAAGGAGGGGGATGGATTATTCCAGCATGCGGAGGCTGTGCACAACCAGGTAGACTCATTAGCTAAACCCATGAGCTCTTGTTGGTAGTTTTCTTTTTATGATACAGTCCCAAAGGAGGCAGATGAGGACTCAGTAATAATGAAATGTGTGTCAGTTACTGAACTTTTAGCACATCCTGGGCACTGGGCTACATGCTCTCCCTACATTGACCAGAGGTTAAGCGACGTGTTCAGGCTCACAGAGCTGGTCAGCCAAGCATCGAGGATTTCAGCCCACCCGCCTGGTCCCAGAGTTGGCTCCCTTCTTAGCTTGGCGCTCCTGCCTCCCCCAGTGCAGGTGCAGATGCTCAGCCAACCATGCTGCTTTATTTGAAGCAACTCCATATGCTTCATAAGCACAGGAAGCTTCACTTAGAGTGATGCTGATGGAAATCTAATCACTAAACGAAGAACAGGGAGAGGAATAAGGGCAGAGATGTCCATTCCCACTAGATCTGCTTGGAACCTCCTGGGAAGCAGCATGGGAGGTATAGAGAGCACTGAGGCTGGCCTCAGAAAGTTCAAGGACTCTTTCTGCTCTGCCCTGTGCTTGCTGTGTGCCCGTGGGCGAGTCACTGAGCCCATCTCCACCTCCGTGACCTTACAGAGTTGTTGTTACAAGGATAATGCCTGGGAAAGTATTTTCTAAACTCTTCCATGGTCTGTAACTTAGGTCATTTTTTTATTGTGCCTGTCGTCATCAACACCCTTTCTCTGTCACTCTGCTCTGGCTTACCTGGCTGGACAAGCAGACTCAGGAGAATCAAGGGGTCCCTAAAATCCAGTGTATGGAAGGTCTTGTTTTATTATCATTACAGAATTTTTTTTTAAAAAAGAACTTCTTTTAGCAAGTTATAGGACGTTTTACTAAGGGAGCTGTCACAAAGTGCCCCACCTTAAGGACCCAGTTGACATTTTGCCACCTGCCCCCCCCCCCCGGCTTTCCCTCCTGAGGTTGCACATGTACCAGGAACCGCCTTCACTGCCCATGCACACAGTCCCCAGCTCAGTCCCTTTCTCACGCACGATCCTCTTCAGGACCCTTTCTCTCTCACCTTCTTTCCTGATTCCAGCCCAGATATTTCAGGGTAAGTCTGCATTTCTTTTATTTATTTAGCTTTTTTTTTTTTACATTTCTTTTATAAGAAAATAGAATTAATCATGATGTGAAATTATTAAGGTAAGTTCTACCTCTGTGACAGAGAAGAGACAAGTTGTAAGGATTAAAAAAGCTCAATGAAATATAATAGGGATTTTTGGTCATTGCTAAAAATAAGGTTCCTCATCTGGGTAGCCACCAAACGACTCTCCAGCATCCTCTCTGATCTGCTCTCTGCCCCCTCTCTGCCTCTGTGGGTTCCAGGAAGTGGGACTCACAGAGGGCTCAAGGTTTAGGTCGGTGCATGTGACTGTGAGTGACAAGCACAAGAAAAGCCTTTCCAGTACCCACAGTGACGGCAGGGGATGGGGGGCAAAAACTCAGCGGTACCCTCTCTGTTTTCTGATGGAGGGTGCTACTTGGCCTACGAACTCAAGCCACACAGACCAATCAACTTTGAGTCAATGTATGTTTATGTTGTGCTGACAAAAACGGTAGGGTTGGATGTAATGCAGGGTTTCCTACTTTTTCTACTTTGTAGATAACTTGAGAAGTCTATTCAGATTCTTCACTAATGCTTCATGCAGTTCAAGATGTGTAAAACTTTTTTATTCAGTGTTAACTAATTTTATTTTTAAAAATCACCACATGCTAAACACTGAAGAAGTCTAATAATTCTTCACAGTGGTATAGACGTTATAGTTTACAAAGCCATTTAAAATATGTTGACTCATTTGGTATCTTAGCAACATTTTGGGTGGATTTTGCTTCTGGGCACTAAGCTGGGAACCTAACCGCTATTTAGAACAGGGCTCAGCAGACTATAGTCTGAAGGCCAAGTTTGGCCCACAGCCTGTTTTTGTGTCACCTAGGAGCTAAGATTGGTCTTTATATTTTTAAAAGATTGTAAACAAAAGCAAACAGCCCCCAAAGCTGAACCAGTGACAGAATATGGCATGCAAAGCTGAAGATTTTACCATCTGGCCCTTTACAGAAGACGTTTATGGACCCTGATTTAGAACATTATTTCTCTGAAAAGGTGTTGTGAGTTCCAGAAAGCTTATTTATAAAATAGGTTTTTGGGTTATTGCATGCTTTTAAGTCATGGACTCTCTAAATCCTTTTGAAAGGATTTAGTCATGTAGCCATGTGAGAAAGTTCACCAAATACAACATAAATAGTAAAGTATGTGTTATAATGTTCTATTCATACATGTCAAATGAAGTTATACAAATCCATGTTTATACATATGTAGAAGACTTCTAGAAGGATAAATACAAGTATGCTAACGATGGTTGCTTGGGGGTGGGGGCATGTTCTCTGGGGGCTTATTGGGGAAGGGAACTTTTCACTTTATTCTCTTCAGTATGCTGTGGATTTTTTTTCTAATCATGAGCACATGTTATTTTTATAGGTGGAACATAAGGAGAGTTAAATGTCCTAACTTGAGTAAGTTCGATTTATATAAATATGTAACTTTGTCCTCGCGCCCCCCCCCCCCCCCCCCAATCTGGTAAATATAGTTAGAGATATATTTTCCTGGAGCATCACATGTGGATCACAGAAACAGAAATCACCCAGGTCACACATCAGCTGTGGAGCTGAGCCAGTTTGGAGCAGGTAAACTGGCTGGGCCTGGGCAGCTTGTCCCCAAGGATGCACTGACTTTTTCTCTTCTTCCCAGACAGGGTTTTGGATAAGGCATTGGGCCTCCAGGCAGAAGACAGGCGCCTGTGCGGGATGGTGTTGCTGGTAGAGGGCTGAGCTGCTGAGAGCACCTTAGCTCTGTACTTGCCAAACCTGTGCAGTTCGTCCAGGCTAGACAAAGGGATGGGTCTCTGCTTGCAGGATCATTTCACTCGTCAGCTCCTCCCACTGGGTCTCTGTCTGCTTGCATTTAGTGAGCTCACAGGCCATTTGACTGCTGGGGATTGCTCTCCCTGGATCCCCAGGGCTGGCCCTTACCCACTGTCAAAAGCTGAGCTCAGTCAGCAGGAAAGGAGAGGCTCAGAGCTGGGGATCGACTATTCCCACTGGGTCAGGGGACTGTGCTGAGATGGAGGTGGGGCAGACTAGGAAGAAGGGCAGGCTGGCACGGTCACAGGTGGCAGAGCTGAGCTTGCGTTGGCGGTGGAGTAGGGCTGTCAACAGATTGGAGGCTCAGGCTCTGCCTGGGTTGGGGAGGAGTCAAGGTCAGAGAACTGGCAGAGCCAAGGCAGGACCGAGTCCCAGAGGGGTTAGGCTGGTTATCCAGGGACCTCAGGGACTTCAAGTCAGGGACCCCCTCATATCGGAGCTGGAGATTTCTCTTCCTTAGTTCTTTGCCCAGTATCCTGTCTTTGCCAAGATAAAAGGTCACATTCAAAGATACCGTCAATCTAGGAGGACAACATGAGTAAGAAGAGCTTGCAAACAAGGCAAGGAGAAATCAAGTGACATAAAATGGATTGATTAGTGAAGCCATGCACAGGATATCCGCTGGGTCCTCAGGTGGGAGGAGCTTGGTCATCAGAGCTTGCCCTCTCTTCCTCTTGGGACTCCTACTACCACACAAACAAGCCTGAGTTAGCCTGCTTGAGATCATGGCTGAGTCTCAGCTGATACTGAACCAGTCACCAGACGTATAAGTGAAGCCATCCTGTATCATCCAGCTATATCTGAGTTGGCCTAGATGGCCAGCCAGCACAAAGAATCATGAGGGGAAAAAACTGTTTATTTTAAGCCACTAATTTTGGGATGATTTTGCTACAAAACAAAAGCTAGCTTGTGACATTTAGCTTCCACACTCTTGAGCAGTGGAAAGTGAGCTTATTTAACAGGAGGGGTTAACATGACAAAATCCTTAAATGATAAAGGGGTTTTTAGGGCAGGATGGATTTTTGTGATGAAAGTCATGAAAAAATAGTAATAAATAACAGCTAACATTTATTAAGCACTTCAGGTTAGGTACAGAGCTAAGAGTTTTAATTAACATGGATTATCTCATTATGAGGAAAGATACTGTTATTTCCACTATACAGTTGAGAAGCTGAGGATCAAGGACATGAAATTACTCTACAAGGTCTCATGGTTAGAAAGGGGGAAGACTTAGGATGTAAATCCTGAGTCTGTAAAACTGCAGAACCAACATTTTTTTTATATTGATTTTGAAACTTAAAAAAAAATTATTTATTGGTTGCACTGGGTCTTCGTTGCTGCTGGCGGGCTCCTTAGTTGCAGCTCGCGGGCTCCTTAGTTGCAGCTCTCGGGCTCCTTAGTTGCGGCTTGCAGGCTCCTTAGTTGTGGCATGCGAACTGTTAGTTACGGCATGCATGTGGGATCTAGTTCCCTGATGGAGATTGAACCCGGGCCCCCTGCATTGGGAGCACGGAGTCTTATCCACTGCGCCACCAGGGAAGTCCCAGAACCAACATTCTTTTTTTTTTTTTTTTTTTTTGCGGTACGTGGCCCTCTCACTGTTGTGGCCTCTCCCATTGTGGAGCACAGGCTCCGGACGCGCAGGCTCAGTGGCCATGGCTCACGGGCCCAGCCGCTCCGCGGCATGTGGGATCTTCCCAGACCGGGGCATGAACCTGTGTCCCCTGCATCGGCAGGCGGACTCTCAACCACTGCGCCACCAGGGAAGCCCCGAGACAACATTCTTAAACACTAATAACTCTAGGGTTTCCAGCCTAGGAGAATCTACAAATGGCTATTCCATGAATTCAAATGGAAGAGCCATGAAGTGGAATTAAAACTGAGTTGACCAGGGAACTGAGGGGGAACTGAGTTCCCCTCAAATCACATCTCTGATTTCTGGATAAACATGGAGTGAACCCATGCATTTGTTTCTGTTGCTTGCTAAAATCCCAATAAATTGCAGCAAAAAGAGCAAATTAAACCCAAAGCAGGAATCAATGAAACAGAAAATTTTAAATAAATCAATAAAACCAAAAGCTGGTTATTTCAGATTAACTTGATAAACTTCTGGCTCAGACTGATTAGAAAAAAAGAAAAAACCAATTGATAGTATCAGGGAAGAGAGGTGACACCTCTATTAATTATACTAATATTTAAAAGGAATATTATGAACAACTTTGTGTCAATAAATTTTAAAAACTTAGATGAAATGAATAAAAAATATGAATATACAAATTACCAGAAGTCACTAAAGAAGAAGTAAATAACTTGAAGAGCCTTTATTAAAGAAATTGGAATTGTAGTTAAAAACCTTCTCTCACAGAAAACTTCAGGTGCAGATGACTTCCCTGGTGAATTCTATCAAACAAGGAAGAAAAAATAATTCTAAATAAACTCTTAAAATATTGAAAAGGAGGGAATACTTTCCAGCTCATTTTATGATCGCAACATTACCATGATACCAAAACCAGACAAAAATATTACAAGAAAGAAAACTACAAACCAATATCTCTTATTTGCAAAAATTCTAAAGAAAATTTTAGGAAGTTTAATCCAACAACATATTAAAGGATAATATATCATGACCAAGTATGATTTATCCCAGGAATGTGGAGTTGGTTTCACATTAAATAAATCAACATAATTCATCATATTTACAAACTGAAAAAGAAAAACGCTATGTTCATTTCAATAGATGCTGAGAAAGCATTTGACCAAATATAATATCCATTCCTGGTAAAAAAAACAAACAAACAAACTCAAAACCAGGAATAGAAGGAAACTTCCTCAATCTGATAAAGGCCATCTACAAAACAACCAGCCAGCATCATATTTAGTGGTGAAAGACTGAATACTTTCCAACCTAAGATCAAGAACAAGACAAGGATGTCTACATGTACCATTTCTATTCAATATTGTACTGGAGGTACTAGCTAATGCAGTAAGGCAAGAAAAAGAAAGAAAAAACACATGGATTGGAAAGGGAGACATATAATTTTCCTTATTTACAGATGACATGTCTATGTAGAAAATCCTAAAGAGTCAACAGAAAAAGCCACTCGAACTAATAAGTTTAACAAAGTTATGGAATATAAGGTCAAAAAACAAAAATTAATTTTATCTCTATATATTAGCAATGAACAATTGGAAACTTAAAAATAGCATTCATGTAAAAATATGAAATAGGGATAAAATTTATCAAGATATGTTTATCAAGATAAATTTATCAAGATAAATTTATCAAGATATAGCTGTACAAGGAAGATTAAAGAACATTGCCAAGGGAAATTGAAGAAGGTCTAAGTACGTGGAGAGATCTACAGTGTTGTGAATTGAAGGGCATGGTGTTATTAAGATGTCAACTCTCCTCAAATTGATTTATAGATTTAAGGAAATGGAGTAGGCAGACTCTCTGAGGCAAGGAGCACTTCAGTGGGAAAATCCTGAGGCTGGCTCTGCATCTCTACCTCCAGTATGAGCCTCAGTCCATGAGCAAGCTGCTCTTTAAGGCTTGGCCTTTGCAGATCTTGGGCAACCAGCACTCCTCAAGGGGGGAGGGAGATTCCTTGGTCACTGGACCCCTTGACCGCTCAGACAGCCATTTAGTTTCTGTACATCTTCCAGCTCACAGGCTCTCAGAACATCTTCCAGTTGTGGCTCAGGAGCTGCAGTCATCTTGAACTTCTTCCCTGGACTTTTTGGCCTTTGAAGGAATCCCTAAATTAATCTCCAACATCCTTTTCCTAAAATGGAAAGAAGATGCTTACCTCCAGACCCTCTCCTCCCTGTTCTCTGCCTCTGGGGTACTGCTTCTCTGTGACTAGAGTCTGTTGGGACATGACTCCACTCTCATGCCTTGGGTCATGTCCTGCCATTGTTTGACTTGGAGTGACTCTGGACTGCCTCTTTTGTCCCCCATACATTCCCACTCTGCCACAGTTTGTCCATGATGATGGTGGGAGGAGCTAAAAAGTTTGTTCTTCTCCTCCGACTGAAAGTCTTGTGTGAACAATAACCAACATCTCAGGGCTGTCTGGCCTTCCTTGTTTACAGCTGAGGAACCGGGAGAGGACTATCCAAGATGGAGACTGAACTTTTGTCGTCAGCTTCTCTCCTGACCTGCCTAAGGGTTTCTTTCAAAGAGCTAAGCAACCTCGGCTTAGCCATCCCTGAAACATGGGTGGCTGAGAGAGGAAGGTGGACTGAGGAAGGGGCCATGATTGAGTCTCTATCAGCTAAACGGTTTTATGGATTCAGGGAACTTGAGAGGTAAGCTCTACCTTTGCTGTACCCCAAACCATATAATCTGGGCTTCTAGTGCTTGTCTAATGCCTAGATCAAGGAAGGAAAGCTTCCAAGAGGTATTCAGGCAGTGTTCCTGATTCATCGAAGGTGCTGAATTTCCAGTTTCCAAGTGGCCATAAGACTCCCCAGGAGGGGGCAGTGTATAGGTGGCAACAAGCCATGAACTACACACACCTACAGGGCTCCTGCTGGAGACATCTACCCAAGTTCTTGTCCAAATGAATCTTTAGGGTGTTTTCCAGTTGCCTCTGGTCTAGGTTTTCTGTTGAGCCCCCTGAGTGACATACCAGGTCACTTTCTGTCTCCTCAGAGTCAGACCTTAGACTCCTCCCAGGATAGCTTTCTAAATACCTGGGTTATTTGGGGGCTCTTCCTCAGGCTATGCACCAGACTCTTTGTGGGTCACCTTGCCTGTCCCTTCACATGGAAATTTCCTGATTGCCTCAATGTCATGTGGCCTAGATTCTTCCTTGCTGCTTTGGCCCCTACCACAGAGGGCTGTGAAGGTTCACGTTTGCCCTTTGGCCAAGAATTCCCTGCTAGTTTGCCCTGAGGCTCTATCTGTGCCAGGTGGGCCCAGTGTTGGATGAAGCTCTTTCAAAGGTGGTGCTCCAGCTGCCGTCAGATCTCATTGATAATAGGAAATTCTCTAGCAAGGATGGAGCCTGGTACTTAGGACAGAGAGGCCATGTTGCACTGCGGAACGTTGGGAGCTAGAGGATGAAAGGTTTCCTGAGCTCTTTGGATGGGAAAGAGTTCCAGCTGCTTCTAGAATAAATGCCAGTCTTGGGGTTGAATTTCTTTTGGGATGAGAGACTGCACTTCATCCTGGGGTTCAGAAAAGGACACTCCACAGGCCCTATCTGGGGTGACAGAATGGGAGAGAGGTTGAAGGTGGGCCTGAGTTAGGGGCTGGGATTGGGGCAGGGTTCAAGATCAGAGGGGGCTGGGGCTGGGGCTGCAATGGGGATATTTTAGCCTGAATATGGACTGGGCCCATTAGGGAATCCACTGAATAAGGCAAAGGGAGACCCTAGTGGGGGTCAGCCACCCAAGACCAGGACAGTAGCCCCAGGGACTCACTATGCAGAGAGGGAACACCCTGGAAGAGCTGGCTCCACTTCTCCAAAGAGTCCCTTCAAGTTTTGGGGTTTGGGAACTGCCGAGGACTGCAGCTGCTTTGGTTTGTCTATGGTGCTCCACAAGGCTTGGGAGCCTGCGGTGTCCTGTGTGTCTGCAAGAGACTAAAGTAGCCCCAGCCCTGGTATGATTCCATCCTTCGTGGCTATTCTCCGGAACAGTAGTCGTTTACCTCCGTCCGCTTTCTCTCCCACCTAAGTGCATGCCACCAACCGATGGAAGATTTGATGGACATGGACATGAGTCCCCTGAGGTCCCAGAACTATCTTTTCGGTTGTGAACTAAAGGCCGACAAAGATTATCACTTTAAGGTGGATAATGATGAAAATGAGCACCAGTTATCTTTAAGAACCCTCAGTTTAGGGGCTGGTGCAAAGGATGAATTGCACATTGTTGGAGCAGAGGCGATGAATTATGAAGGCAGTCCAATTCAGGTAACACTGGCAACTTCAAAGATGTCTGTACAGCCAATGGTTTCCCTTGGGGGCTTTGAAATAACACCAGCTGTGGTCTGATGGTTGAAGTGTGGTTCAGGGCCTGTGCATTATTAGTGGACAGCATTTAGTAGCTGTGGAGGAAGATGCAGAGTGAGAAGATGAAGAGGAGGAGGGTGTGACACTCCTAAGTATACCTGGAAAGTGTTCTGCCCCTGGAAGTGGTAGCAAGTTTCCACGGAAAAAAGTAAAACTTGCTGCTGATGAAGATGACGATGATGATGCAGATGACGATGATGATGACTTTGATGATGAGGAAGCTGAAGAAAAAGCTCCAGTAATCTGTACAAGATACTCCAGCCAAAAGTGCACAAAAATGAAACCAGAATGGAAAAGACTCAAAACCATCAACACCAAGATC